CTGTATCTAGGCTCATAGTATTTTTTCAATAGATCATCTAGACAGAAGGAGAATGCAGCAAGGTTTAGGGGAGCCTGGGCCGGATGGCACAGTTGGTTGGTACTTCGTTCAGTACACCAAAGGGTTGTGGGTTTGGTTCCCAGTCAGGTCACATACCTAGGTTGCGGGTTCAAACTTGCGGTTGGGTGTGTATGGATGGCAACTAATTTATGTTTCTTATTCATATTGATGTTTCCCTCTCTGTCTCTCTAAAAATCAATAAATGTATCATATCCTTGGGTAAGGCTTTAAGAAAATAGGCTGAGGAGAAACATCTAAGCAGCACGAGAGACTGGCCTATTGGAGGGCTAGTAAAGAAAAAGTCTGAAAGTGTTTTTTGGTGAAGAGTGTTATGGTTTGCATGTTTATGTCCCCTCAAAATTCATATGTTGAATCCCAATGCCCAATGTGAGGTCCTGAGCTCATGAATGGGATTAGTGTCCTTCTAAAAGAGAACACCCTGCAACCCCCTCATGTTCCCTATCCCTTCTACCATGTGAAGACACATGGAGCGGTTGGCTGTCACAACCTGGAAGAGGGCTTTTTACAAGAACCTGACTGTGCTGATGCCCTGATATTGAACATCCAGCCTCCAGAACTGTGAGAAGTAAATTTTTGTTGTTTATAAGCCATACAGCCTGTGGTAATTTGTTATACCAGCCTGAATGGACTAAGATAAGAAGGTCCTATTCCATGGAGAGGTTAAATAGGTGAAGACTGGAAAATTGAAAGGAAAGGATGGGAAAAGGTAGAAAACAGGAGGGAAGTTGGTTTCTGTCACCGAGACTGGTGTGGGTGTGATGAAAACAGCAGAACCAAGTTTATGTGCTTATAGCTGCCACCACCATGGAGTGTGAGCATCAAGCCCATTTTGTGGCCACAGTGAAGGGAGAGAGAAAACTGACCTGTTGTGAACAATTGTTCTTCCTTTTTCTGATTCAGAACTGGGTTCCAGACAGAACATGTCAGATTCTTCTGAGAAGTTTCTCTGAGGAGCAGTGATGTTGTTACATGGAACAAGCCGGCTTTGTCCTGGGTGTGAGTCTGCCTCACTGTGCAGAACAGGGAACTGAGGCTCTGAGGAAGTTTTTGCAACAAAGGATGGGACTTAGACTCCTGGGTGAGAGAGAAGTCCAACACAATCCAAAACAAATGGCCCCTATTTCCTGACTTCCACTATGCATCTCTTTATTATCTTTTATTTAGACCCAAGCAGTGATATATGGGATAATGGGGTGATTAGAAGTAGTTGCCATCTCCCTTTCTCCTATGACTTCTTTATATTTCCCAGAAAAATTGGATCAGAAGAAGGAGCCCATCCCAGAATAAACTCACCCTTGTGGGGTGTCAGGACAATAAATGTGGGCCATTACCTGCCACTTTCAGCTCAATCACTGTATCATTGTAGAAGGAGCCATTTTTGAATGCACAGCAATACTGCCCATTGTCAGAGGGTTGGACATTGAGGATTCTCAGCACCACTATCCCCTTAGGCATGACATTTTTCACAAGCTCTGTCCTCCCTAAATACTCCACCATAGCTTCCTCAGGCTTGTCCCTCCCATTCTCGTACAGGTGTACCACATGGGAGGGTAGGGATCTGGTCCATCTTATTTCCATATTTTTAACATTTTGAGGAGGCAAGAGGAAGCAGGGCAGCTCAGCTTCACCACCCAGGATGGCCACCAAAGGTTCATGGGGCCCCTGGACTTGGAATGCTCCTAAAAATAGAACAGAGATGGAGTCAGGGTGGGTTGGGGCAGGATTTGGGCAGATAAAGTGGGATTGACTGCATATACATTTGGCTGTTTCCTTATAACCAACTCTTGGGGATAAGATCTGAAAGTGGATAGTTGCTGGTTCATGGGGATCTCTTTTCTGAGCTTAACATGCACACAGAGCTATGAGGATGCAGAAGATGTTAGACATAGGAGGTCTAGACTGGCTAAAATGAGACAAGCAAACAACTTAGGGCAAAAACTTTGAGGACACACTCACTTGGGGGTCCAAGTGCACACTCCACACAATCCTGAGAGCGAGTGGCTCTTTAAAATTTGGGCCCTAGGCTCCTCACTTAACTCACCCTGTGGGGAGGGATCTGAGGAATGTGATGGCAGGAGATGGATAATAGACATGTTAATCCCTTCAGGTCAGGTGCTGACCTTGTCCATAGAACGGAGGGATCACATAGGAACTCTGATGGCTCTGGATGGAGAGTTGGATACTGTTGAGAAAGAATCCGATGCAGCTCAGTGGAAAAGATATTTGAGAATCATTAATAATGTTTGCCATGAGCATGGGATGAGAAAATTGGGGCATACAAGCTAATTTTTGCCAATATTATTCTACATTATCTTGAGGCTCTAAGAACTTATGCTTACCATATGGGCACTTTCATTTTCTCTCAATCTTTATCCCACCACATGCACATTTATACTTAGGCACACACACACACACACACACACACACACACACACACACACAGGCTTGGACCAGGAGATCAAGTAAAATGCCTAGTGTACACTTCCTGGTACTTAGTAAATGGAATAAAGTTACCTTTTTTACTTTTCCAGGATCTTATAACATTTGAATTTTTGTCAAACTTTTGCTTCCATCTTCCTGCTCTTTTTCTTTTCCTTTCCCTTACCTAACAGCGAATCAGAGACACATATAAGGATTCCTACCTGCATCCAATATGAGCATCTGGAAGGAGAGGTGGAGTGAGATGAGGCTGCCATGATAAATTGGGGAGACTCGCTGCTTCATCAGGTCACTGAGGCAGGGTGATCCCAAGGCTTTGTGCTGATGACGCATTGGAAAAGGAGGGAAACACTGAAATGAAGGGAGAGGAAAAAGAGATTCCTGAGACTTAAGTCAAGGGGCAGAGAAAGAAATGAACTCAGGAACCTGTCCCTTGGACAGGGAAGGGAACATCTCATCTATGGGAGTAAGGTGAGGAGCAGAGTAAGATTCTTGCTTTCTTTTTCTACAAGTTTGGGACTTTTGATTTTCAGGAATTTACAGGGCACTCGTGGCTCCAACTACCTTCTACATGCTAATGACTAACACCCAAATGTACATAATGTCTGGTGACCCAGTGACAGGACCCTGCTTCTATAAGGACCAGGAGGTAAGGGGCCCCTCTGCCTTGGACCAACTGAAAAGTTAGGTGGCTTCTATCATTTTCCACCCCACTACCTCCCCTGCCTGGCCAAGGCAGTCTTATGATACTCCATTCTAGTAGCAGTAGTGAGGAAAGGTTGGAACATGCATCAAGTACCACTAAATCCTGGAATTTGGTGGGCCTGACTGTAAAGTTTGCTGCCCAAAGCCTAGAGCTCAGAAATCTTGCTGCTCAAGATAGTCTACTCAGAGTTGGCTCAAAGAATGGGAGGAAGATGTTCCCAAAGTCATGCTTCCTTTAGGTGGAGGTAATACACTTTGTATGTGGGGTAATGGATCCTGAGTTGGTAGAGGCATGTGGTATATAATTGTGCAGGGTCTTAAGGAGCATGGAAGCAACTGTAGAGATGGAGTATATATTACCTCTCCATGGACTAGGCAGCACTTCTCAACCTTTTTAATGTCATGGCACACCGAGAACATGATGTTATTTTGGGGTACAATGTAATAAACTGAAAGAAAATTAGGCTATATGGGCTTCATGGGAAAAATTATTTTCTCTATATTATATAATTATAAGAATAAAGAAATAGAATTTATTAAGAAATATGTGCCCGGCCAGTGTGACTCAGTTGGTTAGGCCATCAATAAAAACATATGAAGAAATATGTTAAATATAAGTGTAGAAAGAATATCTCTAAAAAGCTTACATGTTTTTTTTTAAATTCTTTATTGTTTAAAGTATTGCATGTCTCCTTTCCCCCCCATTGATTTCTCCCTGGCAGTTCCCATCCCCTTGCCCATGCCCTCACCCCCCGACTATCTGTGTCCATGGGTTATGATTATATGCATGCATACAAGTCCTTTGTTGCTCTCTTACTCCCCCTCCCCCACCCAAACTCCCCTGACTTCCCTCATAGATTGGACAGTCTGTCGATGCTTCTATGTCTCTGGATCTATTTTTGTTCATTAGTTTATGTTGTTCATTATATTGCACAAATGAGTGAGATCATGTGATATTTATCTTTCTCTGACTGTCTTATTTGACTTAGCAAAATGCTCTCCAGGTCCATTCATACTGTTACAAATGGTAAGAGTTCATTCTTTTTTTACAGAAGCATAGTATTCCACTGTGTAGATGTACCACTGTTTTTTAATCCACTCATCTGCTGATGGGCACTTAGGCTGTTTCCAAATCTCAGCTATTGTAAATTGTGCTGCTGTGAGCATAGGGGTGCATATATCCTTTCTGATTGGTGTTTCTGATTTCTCAGGATATATTCCTAGAAATGGGATCACTGGGTCAAATGGGAGTTCCATTTTTAGTTTTTTTGAGGAAACTCCATACTGTCTTCCATAGTGGCTGCACCAGTCTGCATTCCCACCAGCAGTGCATGAAGGTTCCTTTTCCTCCACATCCTCACCAGCACTTGTTGTTTGTTGATTTGTTGATGATAACCATTCTGACAGGTGTGAGATGATATCACACTGTTGTTTTGATTTGCATCTCTCAGATGATTAGTGACTTTGAGCATGTTTTCATATGTCTCTTGGCCTTCTGTATGTCCTCTTTTGAAAAGTGTATAGGTCCTTTGCCCATTTTTTGATTGGGCTGTTTATTTTCCTTTTGTTAAGTTGTATGAGTTCCCTATAAATTTTGGAGATTAAACCCTTGTCAGATAGAACAGTGGCAAATATGTTCTCCCATGCAGTGGGCTTTCTTATTGTTGTGTTGATGGTTTCTTTTGCTGTGCAGAAGCTTTTTGTTTTGATGTAGTCCCATTTGTTTATTTTCTCCTTAGTTTCTATTGTCTGAGGAGCTGTATGGGTAAAGATATAGCTGTGAGAGATGTCTGCTATTTTGCTGCCTATGGATTCTTCTAATATTTTTATGGTTTCCTGCCTTACGTTTAAGTCTTTCATCTATTTTGAGTTTATTTTTGTGTATGGTGTAAGTTGGTGGTCTAGTTTCATTTTTTTGCATCTATCTGTCCAATTTTCCCAACACTATTTATTGAAGAGACTGTCTTGACTCCATTGTATGCTCTTGCCTCTTTTGTCAAATATTAATTGAGCATAATGGCTAGGGTCGACTTTTGTGTTCTCTGTTCTGTTCCATTGATTTATATGTCTGTTCTTGTGCCAAAAACAGGCAGTTTTAAGAACAGTGGCTTTGTAATATAGCCACTTGTGATATCTGCTATTGTGATTCCTCCAACTTTGTCCTTCTTTTTCAGGATTGCTGCAGCTAATGGGGAGAATTATTTATTGCACATGAATTTCTGAAGAGTTTGTTCTAGGTCTGAGAAAAATATGCCATTGGTACTTTAATAGGTATTACATTGAATCTATAGATTGCTTTGGGTAGTATGAACATTTAAATGATGTTGATTCTACCAAATCCATGAACACAGTATATTCTTCCATTTGTTTATGTCTTCCTTTACCTTTTTTTCAGTGTCCTATAGTTTTCCAAGTACAGGTCTTTTACCTCCATAATTAAGTTTATTCCTAGGTATCTTAATTTTTTTGTTGCAATGGTAAGTGGGATTGTTTTTTTAGTTTCTGTTTCTGTGAGTTCATTATTGGTGTATATAAAAGCCGTAGATTTCTGGGTGTTAATTTTGTATCCTGTTACATTGCCAAATTCACTTATTAAGTCTAGTAGTTTCTTGATGGAGTCTTTAGAGTTTTCTGTGTACAATATCATGTCATCTCCTAATATTGACAATTTTACTTTTATTTCTTCTTCTTGTCTGATCACTATGTCTAGCACTTCTAGTAGCATGTTGAACAGGAGTGGTGAAAGTGGGCATCCCTGTCTTGTTCTTAGGGGAAACAGTTTTAGTTTTTGCCCATTGAGTATGATGTTGGCTGTAGGTTTGTCATATAATGCTTTTATTATGTTGAGATATGATCTCTCTAGTCCCACTTTGCTGAGAGTTTTTATTAAGAAAGGGTGTTCGATTTTGTCAAATGCCTTTTCTGCATTGATTGGTATGATTATGTTATTTTTGTCTCTCAATTTGCTTATGTGATGTATCACACTTATTGATTTGTTGATATTGTACCAGCCTTGCGTCCCTGGAATAAAGCCCACTTGGTCATGGAATATGATCTTTCTAATGTAATGCTGGATCTGAGTT